ATTTACACACACATGCATGCAGGGGCGCATGTATGATAACGTTAATTAAAAGCTTGATAAAAATATTTTGCCAAATCTCATGTCTTTAACATAAACGGTTTTACATTTAACATTAAAAAATAGTTTACCCTAGCATTTTAACAGACTATTCTTGATACAAAGGTAAAATAATTGGTTCTCCTTACTTAGGTTTCACATTCGTGTGATTGCATTGTTAAGAATATTTGCATTTGAAAATGACTTTTTATTCCTTCCTCTTGACTCATATTTGTTGTTTATAGAAACTGAAAGCAATCGAACAACTGAAAGAACAAGCAGCAACTGGAAAACAGCTGGAAAAAAATCAGGTATTTTCTGCATTTTTCATTGGGCTTGTAGTTACCATCACCCTTCCCCCTTTTATTATAAGCAATTATTTCATCAGGTGAAAGAGCACATAGATTTAAAAAACTTGTTTTGAAAACCATGTGCCATATTCTTTTTAATATTTTTATTGTTAAATAGAAGCTATGATGTAGATCATGGTGAATAAGAGAGTCACTATTCCTTAGAGGCATGCAACTGCTATTGCTGCTGAAAATAATGGCAATTTGTTATTTCAGACAAATATAAGATTCTCTTCCTTTCTGTATCTCAGGTTGCACTGCCCTGTTTGCCTTTTTCCTCCTCCTTTCCTCAGCACTTTTAAGCTCAAATGTGGAATGGAAAATTTATTGGACTTAAAGGGACTCAGTAAGATGGTTTCTGTCTTTGCTCCCTTGATTCATACTAGAGAACAAATTAGAATTTATTTCTAATCTGTATTTTTTAAAATCAGAAATATTTCTTTATTTTTTTTCCTGTGCTAATTTGGTTACAGATCCAATAATTATTTTGTTTTCTATTTAATAACTTTAATGTTTTAAACTTTTCTAGTTGGAGAAAATTCAAAAAGAAACAGCCCTTCTCCAGGAGCTGGAAGATTTGGAATTGGGTATTTAAAGATTCACAGAAAGCAAGTTGGTTACCAGAAATCAGTGGAAACACATCTTCTCTTAAACCCATTGGTTTACACAGAATATCCACATGCCCACATTTAATGTTGATCTATAATTTTAACCATTTATCAAGATTCTACATGTGTGAAATTATTTAATTATGTCTATTAAATTGACATTTACATTCTGCATCCCATATCATGTCAGTGCATGATATGGAATAAAGATACATGAATTTTTTAGCTAAGCTTGACAGATTGAAAGACAAATGTCATCGTTTTTTAGTAGGGGACAGTATTTACCATATAAATGAATAAAGACATTTTAAATTTAATCATTTTTGTCTTTGTCATAAGTTCTTCAGTCAAGAAGTTTTTTATTACTTTACAAGTCATATTAAATTTTAATTCTCACAACAAGACTCTATGGGGTAAATATTATAATCTCTATCTTACAAATGAAGAAACTAAGGCCATAAAATTAGAGAAATTTGCCAGTGTCACAAAGTTAGGAAATGGGATCTGAACCTAGGCAGCCTGATCCCAGAGCCTATGCTCTAGGTTACTAGGATACAGGAGCAGTGTGCTTAAGTAATAGATCCTTGGGCACTCTGCTTAGTGCTGCTGAAGGGTAATTTTTATAAGTGTGACTAATGGATCATAAACTGCACATTTAAATTTTCATGGTTGCTGCCAAATTGCCATCTCTCAAGGTTTATACTTCCACCAGTGAACATTTTCCACACTTTTATCAATATCAGATGTTATGAGACTTTTGAATTTTTGCCAAATTGAGAAATGGGAAATGATATTTTGTTATTGTTGTATACATTTTTTTAAAATTAGGGTTGGGTTATGTACTTTTCCACACTGATGGCTGTTTGTATTTCTTTAGAGAGTTGTTTTTTCTTTTCCTTTGCCCATTTCTCCTATTTGGTTGTTTTACTTTCTTTGTCTTAGTTTGTCAGAGTGTCCTATGTGGTAACTTATAAAATTCTTTAAAAAAAAAAAAAATTAGTGCACAGGATTTTTTAAAAGATTCATGCAGTATAAAAAAAGGCATACAGTGAAAAGTAAGGCTCCTACCTCTGTTCTAGAGCAACAATTACCAGTTTTTGGTATATCTTTCTAAAGACAGATAGCATGTGTGTTTTCAAATGAACATACATTTAAAAAAATCAAAGGATGGCCAGATATACACTGTTTGATACCTTTTTTTCTTAAAATATTTTGGACGGGCTGGCCCGTGGCTCACTCGGGAGAGTGTGGTGCTGATAACACCAAGGCCCCGGGTTCGGATCCCTTATAGGGATGTCCGGTTCACTCACTGGCTGAGCGTGGTGCTGACAACACCAAGTCAAGGGTTAAGATCCCCTTACCGGTCATCTTTTAAAAAATATATATATATATTTTGGAGACTTCCATATCAGTACCTCATAAACTCATAATGATAGATTTTTGTGGAAGAAAGATGATTTAACTAGCTTCATGCTGATACACATTTAGGTTTGCCATGTGATGCCCTGCATTGCTTTGGGACTCTGAAGAAAGTCCCCACCAGCAAGAATGCCCACACCAGATACATCCTCTTAACCTTAGACTTCCCAGCCTCCAGGACTTCAAGAAATAAATTTTGTTACTTTATAAATTACCCCATTCAGTTATTCTGTTATAAGCAACAGAAAACAGACTAAGGCAATAAATTGGGCAGCTGCTGTCATGAATACCTAAAAATGTGGAAATGGCTTTGGAACTGGGTAATATGGGTAGAGGCTGGAAAAGTTTTGAGGTGCGTGCTAGAAATTTGTACATTAAAGGTGATTCTGGTGAGGTCTCAGATAAGGAACATGTTATTGGAAACTGGAGGAAAAGCAATCCTTGTTATAAAGTGGCAAACAACTGAGCTGAACTGTTCTAGTGTTTCATATAAGATAGAACTTGTGAGCAATGAAATTGGGTATTTAGCCGAGGAGATTTCTAAGCAAAGTGTTGAAGGAGCAGCTTGTTTCTCCTGACTGCTTGTAGTATAACATGAAAGGAAGGAGATGAAGGCATTGTTAAGCAAAAAGGAACCAGAACTTGAAGATTTAAAAAATCCTTAGCCTATCCATATTGCAAATAATGAGGAAACACTTGTTCTGAAGAGAACACTAAGGATATGACTGAAAAACCATTTGATAAAGAAATCATGGGTACAACTCAAGAACTTAATCAGCCATCTTAACAGAAGCCAGAAATAGAGATGGGTTTACACAATTGAACTAAAGGGACAGGAAATGGGATGGAATGAACAAAGGCTGTCAGACATGAATTGGACAAGATGGGATTGTTCAGCTGTGATGGTGCACTTGTTCAGCTGTGATGGTGCACTTTTCCTCAAGAAAAGGGAAGAATGACACAAAAGGCAATTTAGAAATCATCAGGGCTGCCATGCCCACCAACAGGTCCAGGGGGTTCCTCCTTGTTTTCAAAGGGTGGGGCTGCATATCTGGTTTTGGAGGGCCAGAATGCCCTGCCCAGTGCCTCAGGTGTTGGACTCTCCATTGAGATTTATGTGAGCAGGGCTGCAACCCCAGTGGGCCTGGAGGGCTGAGCTTTGAACCAAAGAGCAGTTCCACAGCCGAGTTGCTGCTTCACAGCCCACTCTTCCTCTGTAAAATTCCATTCGGTTCTTGGAGCCTCTCTAGGTCTTCACCAGCTGCTATCTTCACTATACCCCTGATACATTGTGGAAATGATAGATAAACCTATTAGTATAATTCCATCTACTTAATCTTTTCTAGAGTTTTTCCAGTTTCTGGACCACTGGTCCATCCTTCCTTTTCAATGTTGCCATGGATTTATGCTTGTACCACTTTCCTGCCATGTGACTGGATCTCAGATCTGAGAAGAGAGGCAGATGCACATGATTATTCTGTTATCTTAGATTGGAAGTCAGAAAAGCACCCTTCTAAAGATTTTTTTATATTTGTATATGTATTTTAAATGAATTTGAAAATTAAAAGCATTTTTCGTTTCACCTAAAACGCAGTTCTTCATATAGCCACTAGAGGCTTTCAAAGATCAGAGAATTAGGAATTTAGAACATATCTGGATAATATGTTAACTCACTTGAAATTTGCCGTTTTAGTAATCTTGGTCTTTCTTTTCTCACTGTCAGACTCCTTGAATTAACCTTCTTATACCCCTTGCCATCAGACTTATTCCTACCCCTCCCCTAATCTTGTACACTGTTAGCAATCTCCTGTTGGCTGCAAATGAGTCATGTTCCAAGAGTTTGTTTGGAAGTCAACTGTAGTCGTCTCTTGGTATCTGTGGGGGATTGGTTCCAGGATTCTCGTGGGTAACAAAATCCACAGATGCTCAAGTCCCTGATATAAAATAGTGTAGGATTTGCATATAACTACACAATCTTCCTGTATACTTTAAATAATCTCTAGATTACTTGTAATACATAATACAGTGTAAATGCTATGTAAGTAGCTGTTATACTGTATTATTTAGGGAATAATGACAGGAAAAATTTTTTTCAAGTATTTTTGATCTGCAGATGATTGTATCTGCAAAGGTGGAAACTGCAGATGTGGAGGGCTGACAATATCTACAAAATGGGATCTGTTTCCCACAGAGGTAATATTATAAATGGTCACTGGTGCTGAGATGAGCCCATTAAAAACCTAAGTGGAAAAACCGGGTAAGACTCATTTTTTTAAAAAAGCAGTTTAAAGTTTACTCAGTTTTTCAAGAGAGTAAAAAGACAGCCATAGAAAATATTTGCAGAAGATGCATCTGATAAATGGCTGTTATCTAAAATACACAAAGAACTTTTAAAACTCAACAGTAAGAAAACAATCCGATTAAAAAATGGGCCAAAAACCTTAACATTCATCAAAGGAGGTATATAGATAGCGAATAAGCACATGAAAAGATGCTCCTCATCATACATCATCAGGGAAATTTAAGTTAAAACAACAAGAAGATACAACTGCCCACCTGTTAGGATAACCAAAGTCCCCAACACTGACATGGGATACTGGAGAGGATATGGGGCAGCAGGAAATCTCATTTATTGCTGGTGGGAATCCATTTTGGAAGACAAGTTTGGTAGTTTCTTACAAAACTAAACACACTCTTACCATATAATACAGCATGGCACTCCTTTGATATTTACCCAAAGGAATTAAAAACTTAGGTCCACACAAAAACTTGCACATGAGTGTTTTTAGCAGCTTTATTCATAATTGCCAAAAACTTGGAAGCAGCCAAGATGTCCTTCAGTAGGTGAAAAGATAAACTGCGGTACATTCAGATAATATAATGTTATTCAGTGCTATAAAGAAATGAGCCATTCTGTTTTTAGCAGCTTTATTCATAATTGCCAAAAACTTGGAAGCAGCCAAGATGCCCTTCAGTAGGTGAAATGATAAACTGCGGTACATTCAGATAATATAATGTTATTCAGTGCTATAAAGAAATGAGCCATTGAGCCGTGAAAAGACAAAGAAGCTTAAATACATGTTACTAAGTGAAAGAAGCCAATCTGAAAAGGCTACACATGCTGTATGATTTCAACTATATAACATTCTGGAAAAGGTGCAACTATGAAGATAATAAAAAGATCAGTGGTTGCAGGGATTGGGGGAGGGAAGGATAAATAGGCAGAGCATAGAGGATTTTTAGGGCAGTAAAAATATTCTGTATGATTCCATAATGGTGGATACATGCCATTATACATTTGTCCAAACCCATAGAATATACAACACCAAGAGTGAACCCTAATGTAAACTATGAACTTTGTGTGATAATAATATTGATCAACTTAAGTTCCCCCATTGTAACAAATGTACCACCCTTGTGGGGGATGTTGATAATGGGGGAGGCTATTGAAGGGTGGGGGCAGGGGATATGTGAGATATCTGTGTACCTTCCACTCAATTTTTCTGTGAACCTGAAACTGCTCCCCAAAAATAAAGTCTTCAAAAGAAATTACTCGATATTCAAAAATTAATGCGAAAATAAGAAATAAAAAATAGAATGAGAATTCTTTTTGAAAACTTGAATACTCATTTTTTTAGAAACATCAGGTTTAAATGAAGGAAAAAGTAGAAGAAAAGAATTTTTATGAGATTCCTAAGGATGCTTTTGTATACTGACTGGTTCTTTACGGCAAATATATACATTTATCTTCTCTTTTCCTTGATATAAATTTCCATTATTCTCAAACGTAACCATGGTTGAAGTCATTTGGCATTTATAAATGAAATGGAGAGAGGGAAAGAAAAAGAGATTTTCCTAAGATCACTATGCAAAAAACGGAAGTTAGGAGGGAAAGAGA